AATTAATTTCAAAGTTTACACTTACAAAAACGTGCAAGTGCTGCAAGTAACAACGACAACGTGTACAAGTTCATAAATACAGCCAAAAAAACAGCTGTATTAATTTTTTTGTGAATTTTGAGTTTTAGTCTTCATTTTGTTTAAAAAAGCAGGAGCTCATGGTGCATGGGCTCCTGAAAAAAGTTAATTTCTATTTTATTTTCTCGGAAAAATTAATTTTCCGGGGAAAATGCCACTAAAATGCTCGAATAATGCTCAATGCTTTTGCTTCACTAAAATGCTCGAAAAAATGCTAGCATAATGTACAAAAGCCTGCCCAGATTTTGGACTTTGCGTGTAATTCAAATATTTTTGCCCGGATTTCGGATTTAGGGCGAAAATGGAAGGGCAGATTTGGTTAATGAATTATAACGGATCGTCGGATTTGCATACCCCTATTCACCCCCCTCTTTGAGGTTCTGTAGAGTTGTATAGCGGACTAACCCAGTAGTCTGAAAGCATGACAGTACGTTTTCCATTGCGTGCAGAGGTAGTAGTCAATGATTTTATTCTTAAGGGAGGCATTGGAATATAATTATAGAGTAAAAATCTTAGCAGGAGTATTTGAGAAGTCATTTGTCAGACCATGTACGTTTATATATCCATTTTAAGGGTAAACCAATAGGAACTCCTGATGCCGGTGCATTTTTCCGCGTTATCGAGCAGCATAAAGTTGTAAGCATGTTCACTGCACCAACAGCTATCAGGATCATTAGAGCTGAGGTAAGCAATACTAAAGACACACTTAAGCGTGTATGGTGGGCGCAGAAAGGGGAGAGGAGGGGAGGGGAGGGGGAGAAAAGCACGAAAGGGAAAAAGTCCCTTTCCTACTCTCCCCTTCCCTTTCGACGCCTGCCACGCAGGATAATAATTTCTGTCTATGTAGCAGACGCTTATCCAGTCATAACTTCCGTAAACTAGGGGACGTTTTTCTTTTGTCTCGTTGAGTACCAGAATTTCATGCTCGCTTTGAAATTCTGGGCACTGATTGGCTCATTGGAGTTATAATGGCCTATAAATATAACGCACAATTTTCAAGCGTTAATCCGTTTAATGAACTTTACCAGACTAATTTTTAGAACATGTAGTGATTGTATCAACTTGCCTATTAAATCTTATGTCGGTTCGGTTATGTCGATTTTGTGTCACTATTGGGCAAGACCATACAGTTATATTAGACTGTTTTTATATCACTTTTATCATTGTAATTTGTTGTTGTTGTTGTTGTTGTTGCTTATATAGGAAATAAACGTATTTACTGGCTATAGAATGAACCGAAATTCTTCATACTGCACATGGTTACGCGTTGTGCTGCTCTGGGCTACGCGTGGTGCAGTTTTCGAATGTCTTTTTCATCCTGCTGCGGTATTAATATTAAATGTCTCGTTCATTTTTAATTATTCTAAATCCTCTGGTATACAGAGTATGGTTTGAACATTGGGCAGGTTTTTATCGCACATTTTTTCGGCCTTTTTCGTATGATTCCCTCCTACACCTTTGTCTTTTCATACTGTTTAGCTAATAATTGTGGCTCTCTTTATCTGTATTACAGGATCCGCAGTGTGAACTTATCAAAGAATACGACCTGTCTCAGTAAGTTCGAACTTTTCTCTTTGTCCTCCTCAAATTAATATCATGTTGTTGTTGTTTCATCTTTAATATAATATCATAATAATACTGAATAATTATGATAACGTGGACCCAAAATATAGGCTGTGGGGCTGTTTCGACGAGACCATTGACCACCTGGTCTCTGGCCTGCCCTGAACTGGCTAAAATTGAATACATCCACCGCCACAACAAGGCAGCTGTACACATGCACTGGAAGATCTACAAAAAAGAGTTTGGCATTGAGGTGAAGGAAGGATGGTATGAGCATGAACCCAAGACTGTCACCGAGAATGACAGCGTCACTCTTCTGTGGGACATGCCCATCCACACTGACAGGACCATAGCAGCTAATAGGCCAGACATTGTGCTAAAGAGCAAGAAGGATAAAATCTGCCTTCTCACTGACATGACTATACCCCTCGACACCAATACCTCAGTCAAAACCACAGAAAAGCTTTCCAAATACGAATGTGGGGGCTCAAAATGACAATGTCCAGTCCTGGTGGTTATGGGGGCCCTTGGCACTATCAAGAAGGACATGGAAAGCTACTCCAACAAAATCCCTGGCAACATCAACATACATGAACTCCAGAAAATAACTCTCCTTTCTACAGTCCACCTTCTCAGGCGGGTCCTTTCAATCAAGTAGAGACCCTCTTTGCATCCCAAAGTCCATGGTTTGGACTCGGATGTTGAGAGAGAAAATCAATTGCAATTACACTAGTTTATCTTATATAATAATAATGGCAACTTCATGGCCAAAGTGTTTGACAAAGTGCCATCAAGGCTTTAACAAGCTCTAGCATTCCCCACAATCGTGAGAGTTGGCAGGTCTGGGTTTTAGTTTGAAGCATTGCGTGTTAGGTATACAGCTGTAAATTGACGGACATTTTGCCTCTTAGATTCTTTTTCATTGTGTACTGATTAATAAACTTTTTTATTAGCCACGTGTAGTGGTGACTGCATCTTGTGGTATTGAACCAACACGTCTGGTGTATTACAAGCCCCTGCTAGATGAAGCAATAAGGATGTCAAGTCACAAGCCCTCTACTTGTATTGTCTATCAGCGAGATCAGGTAAAGTTATAAAATTAATTGTAGCATAAAATGTCAGAGAGAGTAGAGTATGTGGCTTATTATTGACAACAGAAAGGACAAATCAACTTAAAGTTTTGTGAAAGAGAAAAAATTACTCTGCCATGAAAAATCTGGTGCAAAGAGTCTTTCAAGTTAGGATATTTAAAACTTCCCTGAAAACCACCTTGGTAAGTTGGGAATTATCAAATATTTTGTACAAAAATATACCCCGGTATGTTTAATACTGTTATTAATCTTATTATACAATATTTTCAAGGTTAAAATCTTAAAAATCACATACACCAATCATCTTTATGGTTCAATTTTCTTTGTGTTCAGTGCTCAGGTGACATCATTCCAGGGCGGGATGTAACTTGGGACCAAGTAATGGAGAAGGCACAACCACATGATTGTGTTCCAGTGCTGTCAACTGATCCATTGTACATCTTTGTTACAACTGCCTTGACCGTCACATAAAAAATGGAAAGGGAAGCCGCACTGCCCTGATTTACGACAGTCCTTTGAGTGGCAAAATAGAAATGTACTCTTATCAGAACCTGCAGCGTCTGGTAAGTATATATACAGCCTGTACATGTAGCATGACGGTAATGAAATGCTGGAGAGATTGAGGGTTGGTCAACTCAGGCTCCTATCAAAAATCAATATTTATTGTTATCCTATCCTCCTCTTTGGTATTGTAGGTTGAAAAATTTGCTGGTGCTTTAGCAAGTCTAAATGTAGGGAAAGGAGACAGAGTGGTGATTTATATGCCAATGGTTCCTCAGGTAATCAAAATGTTTTCCTAGCTTCAATTCCCCCAACCACAGGGGGAAAAATTGAGCCTCAACTCACCCACTAATGGAGAAGAGGGAAATTTTTGCTCTACCCAACTGTACTTCATTCAAGATAATTTCATGATGTATGATGTTTCCATGAAAATTTCATGAAATCAAAGCCCAGTAATTGCCTAGGTCTAAAGTAGCTAAAGTTCCAGGTTGGCTCTTGGGGTACCATTGAGATATACTGGTAATTAAGAGGGTTACTGAAGTGATACCCCCTTTACTCTGCGTTTAGCATTATTTAATTACTCGTACCTGCATATGATTGGTTTTGTGTGTTTTTTGATAGGCGGTCATTGCTATGCTGGCTTGTGCCAGGCTTGGAGCAGTTCATTCAGTTGTGTTTGGTGGTTTTGCTGCCCAGGAGTTAGCAAGAAGGATTGAGCATGCAGAAGTACAGCTTAACTTTTGCTGTTATTGTTTTTATCAGACCATGTCCAGAAAAAAAAACTTTATTGGTCAATATCCAATTGATAATTCACAATTATTGTTTTAAGTCAAAAGAAAAAAAATGACAATATATTAATTATAATTAAACAAATATTATCACATAATATTATTATGGGCTCTCATAAAGTAAATCCAAATTCTTTGAAAGTTGAAATGTTTGTTAATTTTAATTTATAAATTTGTAAGGTAATATTTAAATCTTTCTGATATATTTAAAGAAATTTTATTATGCTTAAAGTTAAGATGTGAGCCTATCGGGGATTTTCAGACCTGCCAGCCCCTGATCAAGGAAAATCTGGAGACTCATGAAGAAAAATCTGAGATTCTACAAAAAGTAGTGAGATTCTCATTTTTCCAGAACAAGATTAAACAAACCCTTTTTCCATTGGGGGAGTTAATTGTTCATTTAAATATAACCTTGTTTTAGTGCAGGACCCACTTGTAATAAGATGCCACTCTTAAAGTTCTTTGATGAATCTTAGAGGCCGCGGAAGAGGAAATCACTGGATGAAACTTACGGCAATAAGGGTCGTTTCTTCTGGATAATAATAATATGATATAATATCATAATAACATGATATTAATTTGAGGAGGACTCGGAAAAAAAATCCGAGTCCCAGATGGGATTTGAACCCACGACCCTCCGTGATCTAGTCGGATGCTCTAACCACTTGAGCTACTGGAGACTCTAAGGTGAGCAAGGGCCAATTTGTGGGTCTCGACTGGAGAGTCGAGACCCACAAATTGGCCCTTGCTCACCATAGAGTCTCCAGTAGCTCAAGTGGTTAGAGCATCCGACTAGATCACGGAGGGTCGTGGGTTCAAATCCCATCTGGGACTCGGATTTTTTTTTCCGAGTCCTCCTCAAATTAATATCATGTTGTTGTTGTTTCATCTTTAATATAATATCATAATAATACTGAATAATTATGATAACGTGGACCCAAAATATAGGCTGTGGGGCTGTTTCGACGAGACCATTGACCACCTGGTCTCTGGCCTGCCCTGAACTGGCTAAAATTGAATACATCCACCGCCACAACAAGGCAGCTGTACACATGCACTGGAAGATCTACAAAAAAGAGTTTGGCATTGAGGTGAAGGAAGGATGGTATGAGCATGAACCCAAGACTGTCACCGAGAATGACAGCGTCACTCTTCTGTGGGACATGCCCATCCACACTGACAGGACCATAGCAGCTAATAGGCCAGACATTGTGCTAAAGAGCAAGAAGGATAAAATCTGCCTTCTCACTGACATGACTATACCCCTCGACACCAATACCTCAGTCAAAACCACAGAAAAGCTTTCCAAATACGAATGTGGGGGCTCAAAATGACAATGTCCAGTCCTGGTGGTTATGGGGGCCCTTGGCACTATCAAGAAGGACATGGAAAGCTACTCCAACAAAATCCCTGGCAACATCAACATACATGAACTCCAGAAAATAACTCTCCTTTCTACAGTCCACCTTCTCAGGCGGGTCCTTTCAATCAAGTAGAGACCCTCTTTGCATCCCAAAGTCCATGGTTTGGACTCGGATGTTGAGAGAGAAAATCAATTGCAATTACACTAGTTTATCTTATATAATAATAATGGCAACTTCATGGCCAAAGTGTTTGACAAAGTGCCATCAAGGCTTTAACAAGCTCTAGCATTCCCCACAATCGTGAGAGTTGGCAGGTCTGGGTTTTAGTTTGAAGCATTGCGTGTTAGGTATACAGCTGTAAATTGACGGACATTTTGCCTCTTAGATTCTTTTTCATTGTGTACTGATTAATAAACTTTTTTATTAGCCACGTGTAGTGGTGACTGCATCTTGTGGTATTGAACCAACACGTCTGGTGTATTACAAGCCCCTGCTAGATGAAGCAATAAGGATGTCAAGTCACAAGCCCTCTACTTGTATTGTCTATCAGCGAGATCAGGTAAAGTTATAAAATTAATTGTAGCATAAAATGTCAGAGAGAGTAGAGTATGTGGCTTATTATTGACAACAGAAAGGACAAATCAACTTAAAGTTTTGTGAAAGAGAAAAAATTACTCTGCCATGAAAAATCTGGTGCAAAGAGTCTTTCAAGTTAGGATATTTAAAACTTCCCTGAAAACCACCTTGGTAAGTTGGGAATTATCAAATATTTTGTACAAAAATATACCCCGGTATGTTTAATACTGTTATTAATCTTATTATACAATATTTTCAAGGTTAAAATCTTAAAAATCACATACACCAATCATCTTTATGGTTCAATTTTCTTTGTGTTCAGTGCTCAGGTGACATCATTCCAGGGCGGGATGTAACTTGGGACCAAGTAATGGAGAAGGCACAACCACATGATTGTGTTCCAGTGCTGTCAACTGATCCATTGTACATCTTGTACACATCTGGTACCACTGGTGATCCTAAGGTAACACAAAAACCTGAGATTTTACCATTTTCAACATCCATCATTGGGGGCCAGGGATCTCCTGACTAATAGTTTTTACTGATGATCACTTTAATAGAAGTGAAGTTAAATTTAATTTTGTTGAAGATGACGGTCCAAGTTGATATGGTATTGGTTATGAATGGTCTCCATATAGCTGTATTGTAAAAATATAGTAATTATATAGTTAAAATGACATTTAGTCTTGCGATAACATAATAATACTAAGAGTAATAGAAAAGTCAAAATTCCTAATGTCATGATTTGTGTGTTCAAAAATTTAATTTTAATTGATGTCCCTTGGCACAAATTGATCTGAAATAAACTGCAATCCCATAGTGCAGCCCACTTCTAGAAGACTGCACCTACACTGTAGATTGAAATCATGAAATTAAAATGTTTACAGGAGTGTCGCCACATAGCATTCAAATTAGGAAAAATGGGTAATTAAGTACACTGTATAATTTGACTTAAAAACCATATATAAGCGGCTAGGAATCAATAAACAGTATTGCTTGTATGGGTGAACATTTTGACTTTTAAGCTTCAAGGTCAAAGGAGACTTGAAACAATTTCTCTTACATTTTTCCCCTGTATGCTTAGGGCATTGTGCGAGATAATGGAGGATACGCTGTTGCCCTCAACTGGAGTATGTTCAATGTGTATGGAATCAATCCCGGAGAGGTAACTATACTATTACCTACATGGTGTGGGTCCTCTATTTTCCAGTCCTCTGTGCCTTATAGAAAGTAGGCCTTATTAATAAGGTAGGGCAGTTAGAGTTGCCACAATTGTCTGTAGTCTGTTCCCATTAGGTAATAACTAAGATTTTTTTCGATTGGCAAGGCATGATTAAT